CTGAAGAGACATTAATTGTCGAAATCCGGATATTGTGTACAAATGTTTGCACCTAATGTTTGTGGTATACCATCTTTTCCACAAGTTTATTGTTTTCTGTTTGGTATTAAATTAATATTAAGATCCATTTCGTTAGATCTGGTGATCAATTTATTTGGCAATCGCCAATGGCAGTCAGCAGGATTTAAGAACATCAGTTGTTCGACCTGTTAGTCAAATGCGTTTTGTTACAATAGACTTTTTCACTTTTTTTTTGGTCTTTTGGAAATTGTTGTTTGTGCGGTTTTTATCCAACGCAATCATAGGTTTGAACGTTGTTTTCAATTTAGACTTATATATATATATATACAACTCGTCTTAACATCAGCCCAACAGTTGTCACTGGTTCAGACGTACTTATATATATATAAAAATCTTTGCACCTTTGTTTGCGGTATACCATCTTTGCCGCAAGTTTATTGTTTTCTGTTTAGTATTAAATTTATAGTTAAGATCCATTTATTACACCTTGTGATCCGTTTATTTGGCAATCGCCAATGGCAGTCAGCAGGATTTAAGAACATTTGTTGTTCGATCTGTTAGTCAAATGCGTTTTGTTAAAATATACTTTTTCACTTTTTTTGGTATTTTGGAAAATGTTGTTTGTGCTGTATTTAGACCCCTCTAATAAGAAATTTGTTTTGCATGCACACGTATAAAAATTGCGGTTTTTTTCCAACGCAATCATAGGTTTGAACGTTGTTTTCAATTTAGACTTATATATATATATATACAACTCGTCTTAACATCAGCCCAACAGTTGTCACTGGTTCAGACGTACTTATATATATATAAAAATCTTTGCACCTTTGTTTGCGGTATACCATCTTTGCCGCAAGTTTATTGTTTTCTGTTTAGTATTAAATTTATAGTTAAGATCCATTTATTACACCTTGTGATCCGTTTATTTGGCAATCGCCAATGGCAGTCAGCAGGATTTAAGAACATTTGTTGTTCGATCTGTTAGTCAAATGCGTTTTGTTAAAATATACTTTTTCACTTTTTTTGGTATTTTGGAAAATGTTGTTTGTGCTGTATTTAGACCCCTCTAATAAGAAATTTGTTTTGCATGCACACGTATAAAAATTGCGGTTTTTTTCCAACGCAATCATAGGTTTGAACGTTGTTTTCAATTTAGACTTGTATATATATAAGTACGTACTTATAAATATAATTATTTCTGTGACCGTATCTTGCATTAATTTGAAGGATCCTTTACAATAGATATTTCAGCTGATCTGTAACAATTCCATCTTCATGCCTTATATATCATGTACTGTATCACGACGCTAGATTAAAACTGACGAGGAAAGGTAACAGACGGCCACCGAAAGCTTTATTTTTGTGAAGCCTAGGTGGTCGAGTGGTCTAGCGCGTCGGATACAGTGCAGGCGGTTTGGTGTCACGATATCTCAGTAGCATGAGTTCGAATCCCGGCGAGGGAAAAAAAAAAAATTGCGACAGCAAATTTACAGATCTAACATTGTTGGGCTGATGTTTAGACGAGTTGTATATACAGAATGTACACAGCCATGTATCACCATCACTGCTGGTGATCCGATGGATAAATCTGTTGAAGAGTTGTCATTGGTTCAGACGTACTTATAAATATAATTATTTCTGTGACTGTATCTTGCATTAAATTGTAGGATCCTTTACAATAGATATTTCAACTGATCTGTAACAATTCCATCTTCATGTCTTATATGTCATGTACTGTATTACGACGCTAGATTAAAACTGACGAGGAAAGGTAACACCCGGCCACCGAAGCTTTATTTTTGTGAAGCCCAGGTGGTCGAGTGGTCTAGCGCGTCGGATACAGTGCAGGCGGTTTGGTGTCACGATATCTCAGTAGCATGAGTTCGAATCCCGGCGAGGGAAAAACAAAAAATTTGCGAAAGCAAATTTTCAGATCTAACATTGTTGGGTTGATGTTTAGACGAGTTGTATATACAGAATGTACACAGCCATGTATCACCATCACTGCTGGTGATCCGATGGATAAATCTGTTGTAGAGTTGTCATTGGTTCAGACGTACTTATAAATATAATTATTTCTGTGACTGTATCTTGCATTACTTTGTAGGATCCTTTACAATAGATATTTCAGCTGATCTGTAACAATTCCATCTTCATGCCTTATATATCATGTACTGTATTACAACGCTAGATTAAAACTGACGAGGAAAGGTAACAGACGGCCACCGAAAGCTTTATTTTTGTGAAGCCTAGGTGGTCGAGTGGTCTAGCGCGTCGGATACAGTGCAGGCGGTTTGGTGTCACGATATCTCAGTAGCATGAGTTCGAATCCCGGCGAGGGAAGAACAAAAAATTTGCGAAAGCAAATTTACAGATCTAACATTGTTGGGCTGATGTTTAGACGAGTTATATATATATATTTCTCTAATTCTTCGTCAATTTATCCCTTTCTGCACCCATTGTATAAAAAAATTTAATCAACGTGTGGTTCGTTTGATCTCAGTTCTTCATTGGTTAAAATCCAATTATGACGTCGAATTTACTTGCTTTATATATATGCCAATGAGACAGCCAGCAAATTTACAAAATATGAGAAAAATCCTTCTAGAAGTTAACACTCTTCAGTCTTTATCCATCGATAAGTAAACCTATTACATTTCAAATTCCAGTATGCCGAGACAGGGTTCTGAATAACGATCTGTATGTACGCTCGAGAGTGTTTAAATGAAGAAAAAACAATAGACCTTTTGAAATATCAAATCCAAGAACAGTTAATACCCAGTGTGAATTGTTTCGAGTCTTTTAGATATTTTGGTACATGTACTAAATACTTGTCAGATTTAAAGATGTCGATTTAGCCACAACTTGGAAAATCGTCTTATTCAAATTTTCTAAAATCATATAGATCAAGAATACCAACAACAACATACCGCTGACTTGGTTAGTTTTTCTATTATACATATTAAAAATAAAGTTCGTGTACCTCATAATGAGGTCGTACGATCATGAACCTTTTATGAAAATTTTATATCGGAATAGAATACAAAACGTTCTTTATTCCGCACGTTGATAGGGAAGGGAAACTATATGCATATATTTGTCTTCCTAAGCAACTTAACGATATTTATGGGCTCCGAAATGTCAAAACGTTCCCCCGTTAGAAATGGGCTAATTAAATTATGGTACTGCGAGTTTTCAAACATATTACATGTGCCAGGGTCCGGGTTTTACCAAATGTGGTTGTAGTGCTAAGACCAGATTTAATACCAAACGATGTCTTTGCAACAAAATCAAGACAAATATGAAAAAGATCCTGCCTTTCAAACATTATATGAAATTGCAAATAATTGTCGATTTCAGTGCTTGTAGGAGTTTTATATAATTCAGTAGTATTTATTCTTAATCATTAAGCTCACAAAACGCAAGCGTTAAAATTCAGTAATTATTACAGACAAAATTGCTCTGTTGTTCAATACTTTTAGAGTCTCAGTTTTTGTTAACATTCCATTCTATAAAATATTCAGGCATTTTGTAAAATACCTTACAATTTTTCTATGCATTTTGTAAAATATGTAGTCAATATACAAAAAGTCTGAATCTTACAGCAATTTTAGAAAATGCCTAAATTTAGAAAATACCTGTAACACATACAATTGTTCCACTCAAATATGATGACTAAAACAAATTAAATCAAATACTCCAACAACTTGTACCAGCTGACATAACATCGAATCATGCTATCACTGTTTGAGGAAATTACTATTTAAGAAAATAAAAATTGAGATTTAAGATTAAAGTATACTTTTAAACTCTTCTTTTGAGTAAAATCTCGTCGATTAACAAGTTTTAACGCTGATACTGACTATTACAAGGTAACCATTATTTATTTACTGGTCAATTACACAAGAAACCCTACAAAATTTGGTTTAACATCTGAATTCGTTAAAATTAATGTTCAACTCCTTGGAGCCTTTAAAAAGCTCGTTCCTTTTAAGGTTATTTTGTCTCAATTGAAAGTACTGGTTTTTACTGTAAGGATATGCAATTATATCTTTTATAGTCGTTATAATATTCATGTGTACTTTCTGAGCCCATTTGTTGCAGAATCTTTCCTTTAATGTTATGAATCACATTTGATTGCTAAACTTCATATAAAACCTGACGAAACAACACTACACAGATATTTTTTTAACAAAGCAGTCTGTAGATATTAAGACGGTATAATATCTGTAAACAATCCAAACTTGATAGCTCTAAGGTAACAAGCCGATGAAACAGAAAAAAAGATGTTAAAGTAATAACTACAAATCTTTATTGTAAAACTGACCCCCGACTACTCTGAAAACAAAATAGTCTGTGAGACATACATGTATGAAATATCGAGCATTGTTTTACAATTAAAATTCCATACCTGTTAAATAACAAAAAAAATGTTAAACATAATCAGAACATAAGACCACCATTCCTTATAATTTGATGGTTTGATGAAGTATATCACTCATAAAGGAAATTAAAGTCCCACAAAGGTGGACAAAGACTCCAAGACACTACGTGACAAAATTTGAAGACCCTAAAAAATGATTGCTGTATACATAAACATTTTTTTTTAAATATTTCAAAGAGTATTTAGACCCTCAGAAATAATGTTAGATCAACATTGCTATTGAGTTGGCAAAGTTTGCAAACAATGACCGAGGTAATTCTCAATTAAATGGGCAACATGCGCGAAATTGCATATATGTCAAAAGATTAGATTCACATAACACTAAAGAGACACAAATGAATTCAACAAATTGTATACAGACCCTTTTTTAATTATTTGGTAAAGCTTGTAGGAAATCACTTCAAACATATTTCAGTCCAAGCACGTGACATGATGACCCTGGATGGAAGAGACACTATATACAACGTTGTAAATATACGAACCCGCTGGCCCATCTGCACTTTTTTAGATGTTATGAATACAAATAAATATAAAGCAATCTTGATTATTTTTTAATTGCAAAACAAAAGATATTGTAGAATATATTGTAGAAATATTTACGAAACCCACACAGATACAGTGGAAAAAAATCGGTTAACATTGAAACAATTTTCCCAAATTCAAAGAAAGTGAAATATTCCAAATTTTTACATTGAATGTACAAAAGATTGACTGTTTCATTTAAGCTTTTGGCATACATTCCATGAAAATTTGTGTCATAAAATTAGACTAGCAAAAAATCTAACTGCCAGAACAATTTTTATCAAATCTGTTTCGTTTTATAGCGATGTGACAAGTATATCCTAATTATTATTAGTATTTTACATATCTGTTTCAGTCATTTGTCAATAGTTATTATTTCTAATAGAATAACGTCAATTTTATCCCTCCATAATATGCTTTACAAAGGTATCACTCAATCTTCCCTCTGTGTATGCATAATCGCTGAAACACTGTTCATCCTGAAATTTTTCGTATGAACTATACTGTGTTTCGCCCCGCTCATCAACACTATCTACTGTAGCTGAGTGTCTGTCTAACGAGTTGTCATTATAATTGTCAGAAGAGCACGATCTATCATTAAGTTCGGCCGCTAAACATTCAATACTTCTATGCGGTACATCATTTGTACTGTCTGTCTGGCCTACTTCTTCCATCTGAATTTCTTCATACTGACTTTCTACGTTAACAACATTATCCTTATTTTTAATTGTTTGACTCTTCACTCGTTTGACTAAGATTATGTGATAAACGCTGAGTATTAGAATAATGAATATCATCATAATAAATACCGTTATGTAAATTGTAGCTTTACTTTCACCTGAAATAACAGTAATGCCAGTAATAAATGAGTAAAAACACAATTTACTTATTTACTTAATCGTTTAGATCAGATCACAATAGTGAAAATTATCAGGTTTGTTAATAAATAAATACATTAGAGTTACTGGTTAACAGTGGTGTTATCTGCCTAATAGCAAGTTTTTCATTACTGTCAAGGTTCGACTAATACATTTTTTTCTGTAAATTATAAGTTCATAGATTGTGTAATTATACTTTAAGTAAGGTTGCAACTTCCTGGCAAGAATGATCTAAACCGGTGTGTGGTTTGTGTGATTGGAACAGTTTAGTTGTTATGTTCTCAAACGTTATATAAAAGAGGATAACAATACCAGGGCACATTCAAAACTCATTAGTCGAAAAAGAACTGACAAAGCCATGACAAAAAACAAAAAGACGATGAAAAGAGAAACAGGTTCACAAAACACTACAAAGAAAACCAAAAAAACTAAACAACACGAACACACCTTAACCTGAGGTGACTTCACTCCACTAGTGGCAGTTGCAGTGCTACTCATGGTAAGTATGAAATCGGTGATTAGTCTTATTCGATGATGTAACAATCGAGGGAAAAGGTATGAAAAAATAAATAAGTATATAACCTTTTTAAACATTTGATCACGGTGCAGATTATTCCACAGACACATGTCGCTCGTCATATGTTTTAATTTACCAATGTATTTCTTTCTTTTTTTCATTCTGAGTACTAAATATTCTATACATAATAGGTAAAAATGTGAAAATTGGGGTATATCAGTCAACATTGTGTTATATTCTTAATCACTATAAAAACAAACGACTATGTCAACAACGAAAAACAAAATAGCATATAGACACTCAATAGACAAAGCACAAAGGCAAAAATGAAAGACAAGAATACAAAAAAAAAATGACCATAGCACAATAACACAATGACGAAATGTATAAATACCGAGCCAAATCAAAAAAGATATTACCAAAAATGGACTAAACAGTAAAGGTTGACAATATACAAAGACAAATAAAAAGAACACTATAACACGTATTTAAGATGATAAACGCCAGTACCTAGAATCTATACTCCAAGACCTTCATGTATTATTTGTGAAGTTGATACGGAATATTTATCAATAAAGTCTTGGTATCTTCCGATGAACTATTTTAGAAAAAGGACGAGACGTTCTTTGACATAACCCTGCTTTATCAACATTCTGCTCAGACACTGGGGACGTTTTATGAAGTCTGAGTAGCAGCTGCAAGCACTTGGATACCGAATGAGTTGGGAAATGTATATACATTGCTTGCGAGCAGATTTGAATCATGTTTCTTTCATAAAAGATATGTGTGAGTGAGTGTGATTTAGTTTATTGTAGTTTTAATTAGTTTCTCTAAATGCAATTTTGGATCATATTTTCGGATAAATGTTTTGATCTTAAAGTAAGGGTTTGAAGATCATCAAAATAATACTTTATAAAGTTGGTGAGTCCAATGAAGTGCTTCTCTAGATTTATACAAAATGTACCTTCATCAGGAACGATGAAACTTTGAAAGTCAAAGATGAATTAATACTTGTATACTTGAGGACATTTTGACAGCACAAACACCCACATGTTTTAAAGAACTACATTGAAAATTTTTCATTTTTATATAATATTGACCTTATAAAGTTAATATACTTACCAGTGTAGCTACTCAAAGAGTTCAAGCATTCTGTGTTTGGATCTTCACCTGAAAGACATATGATAATCTCATTAGACAAATCTTGTAATGTTAATATATATAATATATATATATATTAAAATTCTATTCAGGTTAGGTATCTACTCAATAAATGGCTAGACCTTAATATTGAAATAAAACATCCCGCTTTAAAATGGTGAAAGAAATACTTTCCCATGCCAAACATAATACCTTGGGATAATTTTCTTTTCAATAATGCAAATTCTTCTATATCTAATGCCTGTAGCTTATTGTGTTATTTCTAATGGAGTAAAAAACATTGAATAACGTTTTGCTCTATACTCGATTGCAAAATATTCTTTAAATTTTTTTTTTTTTTATCAGAGATTTTAGATTACTTCCTATTTTCCACACCTTGCAATGTGTGTCACTCAAGATCTTTTTATATTTGTGTTCAATGGATTAAACAATTATCAATGTTCTTAAATTTCAACCAGATCATTCAAAACAAATGAAACACACCATCTGTCTTGTCGGATATCAGTAATGGAAATAACCACAACCAAATGTCTAATCCAAAATCATTGAACCATGGCATATTTGATACCGTATTTGTATAAAATCTACTTCGAAGTACAACCACCGATATTAGAGTGTATGATGGCAATATTTCAAATCAGCAGATGAGCTTGCTATCATAATCCGAAAGCATTCTTTTATACGGTAATGTTTATTCTCTTAGAAATGTTTATGCCATTGGCAATATGTTTAAATTTTTTCTTACCTACGTGTTTCAGTTGAACTATAAGTTTTTCAGAACCGAGTTCATTTATGGCTTCAAATGAATATAACGTGAAATCTTCAGGCCTTAACATAGCTGTTACAAAAGATACTTGATATCCCTGCAGAAGAACCACAACTCCATGAAAAGTATCCCTCACCAATGTAACTCTTTCTTCAAATGCATAAAGATGTGAATCTTGACACATTGTCCAGTTTTGCGAAGAACAACACAATACGTGATATTTAGGACGACCATAGATATAGGTTACAATTCTAGTTGACTTTCCGGAGGAACCATACTGCACGTTCTTACTATCAGAAACAAACACTGGGGGTACTGAAATGAAGTAATTATAATTTAATAACTATATGTACTACGAATTTCATATTTTCCTAATGCAATGTTTTGTTTTCCTTTTAAAACACTTTTACTTAATATAAAACTTCTTACTATTATTATGTTCTCCCCTTGAGCCCTAAATAACGGTTTGCGAGAAGAAAACTTCTAATCAAAAGTTGGTAAAGAATTTCTACCCAATGAAACTAACACTTTAATCATTTGGTTTTTTTAATGATTATAATGAATAAATAAAAATTATTGTTTCTGAGGTTGCTAGAGTTACATTGATTTATCAAAGCAATAAAAACACAACCTACCGTCACTGTTAAACTTTATAGTTGCCATTTGAACTAAATTTCCTCTTTTGTTGACAATTCCATTTTCTACTTTACATACATAGATGCCATTGTCCTGGTACTTCGTGTCTGAGTTATTCCCAGAAAGATATAAACTTCCAGTAGAGTCTCCCTTTAAATATCGTATGTGTTCTCCGATCAAAGTTTTATGTTCCCATTCAAGATATCTGTATTTTTTGGGGTAACCTTCTGCAATACATCTTAAGTACACTCTACCACTGGACGTATTTGTTATGATTTTAACGTCTGGCGCATCTAAAACACAACTTAGAATTGAAATGAGGAAACAGTTAACATAGCTTTCGTATTTATGTTTTTGTCTGATGATTTGAATGATACACATAACTGTGTTCAACCATATGACTTTTGCAAAAAACAATCCCAAATAACTTTGTTTTCAACTAATTACTATATATAAAAATAAAATACTATATTTGATATATGGGCAACAATAACTAATGCGGAACAAGGTATGCTTATCCATAAAACTTTTTGAGTACCTGATATCACTCACTGCTTTACATTTTGTGCTCTCTTTAAATCAAATTGGTATTATTCACTAATGGTTTTCAGGTTACAAATATAAGTATCGACAGGTGTATACCAATACATATTTAGTATCTTTTAGTTTTTTGGCAATGTTAGTATCGATAAAGACAAGTTTTCAAAGATCTTACTACAGTGTAAAATTGATAAACGTTAAGAAAGGTTTATTCAAAGATCAGTTAGTTTACATAGATTGCATCTTATATCCCATTACATGACATAACAAGCTCGGATTTAACAATCCGATTTGACAACAATACTAGTTTGCGTTCACAGATATTTCGGAATAAATGCGTATTTGTGAATCTGGAGTCGAACCACTTTAGCATGTTTATACGCTATTCAGGGGTAGCGATAGTATTTTTCCCATAGGCGACAATACTAACATTTTCTAAATTTGCCACTTTTTTATTATTAAAACCAGGACAAAACAGTTATGCGTAATATTAGAACTTTATTATTCTGTATTATAAATTGAAGTCAAATGGTGGCATGACCATCTTCGAACGGAGCTTGTTTATAGTATACATTGCAATCGTCATTTTACATCAAATTTATGAAAATTTTGAAGCCTTTTCTAAACATTTGGTACACAAAAGGCCAAACTAATGCCAGGAAATTGAAATTATACTATTTCCCCTATACTCTGACTTTAAGTTATAAAGAATTTTTATGACACCATGAATGCAATGCTGATTCGTTGTGAAACTATTTGCTATAAGGAAAACTTGTGTGTCCCCACTACTTATAGAAATATGGGTCACTTTGTGTCCCCATACCTACATGTTGGTTTACATCTTTTTTTATTTTCATGTATCCAATCATTTCTTATCTTATTTAAAAAAAATAGTAAAAAGTATCACTTAAACATATATAGATGACTGTATCAATCTTTTTGCATTCATTTTGTCCAAATTTACAACATAAGCACAAAATCCTGATTTTTCATACTAATGACTATTCAATGCTTTAATATATATGCCATATTTTGGTCTAAAATTTCAGAGCTGGTTATAAAATAATAATCCTGGCTTGGGATGATGAAGACAACAATGTTGGACACTTCAAACATTAAATATGCAAAAACGACAACCGAAAAGTTGCATTTGTTGCCTGTTTTCGTCTTTAACAAATCTGAATTATATCGCTTGGGGTATTCCTTTCCAAAAATTGTCCTTTCAAAAAGTAGAAAATGGAAAAAATAGAGATATCTAATATGATAAAATATAGAAACTATAAAATGAAGAACTACTGATATGTTTACTGCATGATCTGACAAGAAGGTGAACAATTCTTAACACAGGAGAGTATAAGTTCTATCTAAATTTAGTCTAAAGTGGGCTCTTTTTTCTTAAAAGAACACTTTGAACACTGACATTGCTTCCAATGTGACCAAATATTGACTGACTTCATAAACACGAAATCTGTTGTTTGCACTTGAATCAATGATTGCCAAATATCAAACAAACTACAAAAGATCTAGAGTTTAGAATTTTATACAATAAAGATAATGCTTAGATTGTGTGTACTCTAACAGAACTTTTGGATTTTTTAGTATCCACATCTTATTCACATCGCCCCTAGAGTATATAGTTTTACAATAACTTTGAGGCCCGGCTTTGATTGCTGATACAATCGATGTTAGAATAATTTAAAAATAGATTTCGTGGAGCACTAAGACGACCCAGCAATATAAAGCTGTTTGTAAGGCCATTTAATTTATATGAAATACAGTGAAGGAAAATCCAATTCTTTATCTTTGATTAAATTCCAAATGAACATGGAACAGAACCAGTGTCGTTGGGGTATTTGCTTAGTTTCCAGATGAAATGTCAATATCTAATTCCTTTATCAAGCAGTTTATGTAATGTTATTTACACACAAAAACGATGTTGTTTGGCGCTTTATCTGTGATCCCAACACAATATTTGTCATGAAGGTAGGACAGGTGTTGAGCCATTAGTTTTGAATTTGTAAAGGAATGCTCATATGAAAATATTAGACAAGAAAAGAATATAGATATAGGTACAATTACTTAACCATAGTAAAATGATAACAAACACTTACATAAAACATTTAGTTGAATTTCGTCATCATCTGTACCAATAATATTTCTACAAGTGCATCTGTAGTTGCCGGCGAGTGAACGAGTAAAGTTTTTCATATCAAGGCTGTTGTAATCACTATCTGTGTGTAAAACAGCTTTCTCGTCTTTAAACAACTGAAGATCAAACACTTTTGGATTTGCGTCTGGCTTACAAATAATGGAAACATTCGAGCCTTCTGTAATATCCGATGACGGTAAGGATATCATGGACACAACAGGTTTATCCAAAATATTATACAAATTACACTACTGTTGAATCCAAAATCACAAAGGTCTCATTTAAACCTCTTCATGTCCCGCATAAGGTATAAAAGGCGTCCGAAAATATTTTGATAAACCTTGAGCATTATTTTGTCTCGCGAATTCAATGAAAAGAAAAACACATCAAAGATGCAGAGGTAGACAAATCATAATGTCAAAGACTGCTGCTCAGATTTAATATACATTCATTACATGTTCCTCTCTTTTTTTACGATGAAAAATCGAGGGAACACGGAACAATACTGACTTGAATGCTTTAGTTCGATAAAAAACTTCTTCCTTTTATACTATCAAGTTTTACATGAAATGTGAAGCTAGGCAAACATTTAATTTTCATAATTGTAGATTGTATGAATAATGCTAAAAAAAAATCTTTTTTTAAAGTCTAAAACAGTCATATGTGTATTTCTAATGAACTGTATTGGAAATAAAATATTAAAAGAGAACAGTTAATTTTCGCTTGCTAATCGGGGTATGTTGCAGTATGTTTCTAAATACTTACATTGTACATTTAGTTTAATTCTTGATTCGAGTTGAAAATTTTTCGTTGACATATTTGTCATACAAACGAATTCCTTCAAGTGATCTAGTTTCGTTGGTATGAATGTATAGATCAACATACCGGGTCCACCAATAGCATACATGTTCTTGTCGTCTAATATAAACAAAACTTCAGCGGTATACCACTATTAACAATACATGTTATATTACATGTTTGTTTTTCGATGCATTTTTTATCATAGTTACCGTTGTCATTTGCCACCTCGGAAAGCCATCTTATATTCGACGGTGCCTCTGGAAAGAAATTTAATGTTGTATTTGAATACCTTATACAACGGTATTAATTTCTTTTTAAATTTCATTGTTTTCATACCGGTATAACACAAATAAACGAAATAATTATTTAAAATCGCTTTAAAAAGTTTCTTTGAGTTTCATATTATTTTTTAAGATGTTTCACCAGATCATGTGAACATCAGCTGTGTATCATACATGATGCCAATTACAAAGTTAGACGATTCTTTGAGGGCAAAATACCGATGAGTCAAAATTCTAGTTCATAAACATTAATTATCAAACTATTTATAAACCAACACGAAGTTCATGATAGGTAAAATGTGGATAGGAGATGAGAAGTCACAATCGGCGATTAGTCTTAAAGGGGCATTAGCTACAAGATATAAAAAAAAATTAAATATGATTTTTTTTGTTCAATCATTAATGAAAGTGAAATAGTGAAATAATAATTCGCTTTTAGCAGCCAGTTTAGTTCAATTTTGTCATAATAAGCTAAGAAACATCGCTGATGAATTATTCAATTGCAAGTGAATAATTCGACCTCATTGAATCTGTTTTCATGTGACCTTCAGTTCAACCCATTAGCTAGAGATTGGTTACGCATGTATAAGGCGTGTTCTGCCATTCAAAGGAAAAGAATGTCAACATTGAAAGTGAAACAAAGGTGAATCATTTCGTTGACTGATTCGATCCACAAAAAAAATCATTTTTATAATGGACAATTAACATTATAGGTGGAACAGGACAGACAATACTACGATTAAAAAAAATACCATATCACATACAAATTCCACAAAACACTATACAGAAACAAAAGAATTTTAAGAACATACCAAAAACTGAGACCCTGGGGGTTATCAGGCAGTGCTGCTACAAGCCAAGACATCTTTCAAAAGATCATAGATAAATGTCTCTTTTTCCTTATCTAAAGACATTGTTTAATTCATCATTTGCAAGTAAATGTAGCTTCTCGAAATCTGATAATTGACTTAATTTGTTATTTTCACATAAAACACAAATCTTATTAAGGACAAGGGACAAACTAGACAATTGTTGATGGCTCCATTGTATAGTAGCATCACAAAATATAAGCAAAACTATAAACATAATCAAGGTTTGTAATAACCCATCAAAGATAACAGGCACATAATTTGGCACGCCAGATTCGCGTTTTGTCTACAATAAGACTTTTTAGTGGCGCTCAAATCAATCAGTTTGAAGGTAACATTTCAAGTTGTGCCAATAGTGTTAAGGTAATCTTTTACTGAGGGTAAAACACTTTAGTGTTTCGAATATTTCAACATTTTTATAACAGTAATTTTGTAAAATATACATATTTCAATGTTATTTAAGTGAACTCAAAAGTGCTGACTGCTGGGCTCGTTGATAATTTCTAAGGAACGTAACGTCCATCCACAGTTGCATAGATCCTGTGTTTGTAAAACCTCATCAAATATACCAGGCTTGATAATGACTATCACAAGTAGCTTTCGGGGGTAGTCCTAAACGAGGAGTGGGCTACGACAGCTGTAACATATTCTAGGTATTTTGTGAGACATATTTAACGTTACAGTCAACCAATTTACGATAGCATGCATCGGTAAAACTACGAGAGATTATTTATTTTGAATTTACAAATAATATTAAGAATAGAAACTGTAGGTCTTCCACCCATGAATCACCTTTTGCATGATTCTTAGTGGTACTTAATATGATTTGCATAAAAACGGTACTCTTTGTGTTTGGTTGGGTTTTTTTCAAAATAAGATAACAACATATTTGACATGGGAAATTATGAAAATGTGTAAAAGGACGAAACATCTTAAGATATTAGTATTATAGAAAGTGTTAAAATTTTAACTTGTCAACATTTTTATTACCTCTTCGACTGTGGTATTACGTACTGGATTTTAAAATAGTTTTGCTTCGATCATCAAGGGAGAGCCATTGATTGTCGATATGCGCATCTACTGCAGTAACATTAGTACCGATAATGTTGACCCAACAATAAATAAAAAATGGTAACCTGCTGAAAATTTACATGTTGCATCTTCTTTAAAATATAAATTTCCGAATACACAAGGTTGTAGTACAGTTGACTCTGCTTCTTATCTTATCTCGGTTGTAAACATTGAAATGAATCTGTCTGGAACTAAACTTTACGACAAATGAGATGATTTCAATTTTAGTGTAGCAAAATTCAAGCAAAACCTACATGTGCATTTAAAATTAGGAGACGTGATATTATTACCAATAAAACAATTATCCAACAGAGTCTAAATGACGTGGAATTAAACAACAAGTATACAACCCTCATTTGATACGATATTTCACGTCTTGTTCCTTAAAGTAAATTTGAAGACATCCATTCCAACATCATACGAATGCCATCACAATTTTTGTGATCGTTAAAGAAACATGTGTTCACTGATGCTCACGGATATGTTCCCTTTGTCGTTAGTCGAAGACACAATTAAGTCGTTTTTACATCGGATGACCGTGAGGGCATTCCGGTGTATTGCTGTCGCCTAGATTTCCATTACGTTACTTTCGTGTTGGGATTGTAACCGATCTATAAACATGATAAATACGCGGACATTATCGAGTGCAAAATAACATTCCTTATCGCTTGTTATAAATTCAGTTTTTCAATGGATACTCCTAAAAATATTTTTTTTAGAACATAAATTAATAATATGAAAATGTTTTGTCGAAATATATATGTTAGTAAAAAATCTTTAATATCTATGCACACGTACAGAAAATGTGTGTTAACGCATGCGGAAGAATATCTCAAGAAAGTTTGCAATCTCCCATGCAGAGTTATCGGTCCTCGCTCTCTCTCAAGGACCGATAACTCTGCATGGGAGATTGAAAGTTTGGCGGGAAAATATGAATGCCTACTCAAATCCAATGTTTTAGAAAAATCGAATTATTACAGAAGAGTGTCCACCATGCACTTGCACTGCACTATTATTCATATAGTAGAATAGAATGATATACAAATGGATGAAAATTATATATACATGTAACTGTAATATACAAATATTAATATAATATATAACAACAAACCAGAGTATACTGATTTTATCACTTCAACATCATATTTATTACGGTGAGGTTGAATTCCCTGTCATTTATTTATCATCAACGCACGAACTTGTCTAAGAAAAAAAATCATATCTCTACATTTACCTCACTTTCAGGTATAGAGATGTGATTTTTTTTTCTGAGACAAGTGCTTGTGACCATCCTCAAGAACTTGCAGTCATCCGATGTTCAGTTCTTCAGTACTTTGGTTTTTCTCGATACGTTTGTGACACCAATGCAATTTGGTTAGATAAGAGACATATTCAAATTCCATACGGTATGGGATTTGATCACTAATGTATCTAAACAGCGATTGCCACTAGAGGTGAGGAAACTACTGATCTTCCCGTGGTACCTGAGTTCAGCCCGATTATAAAATGGGTTTCATGCTGCTCAATCTTTAGTTTTCTGTGTAGTTTTTTGCGTTTTGTGGACTCTTTGTTCGTCATGTCGTCTGTCTTTTTTTGCGGACTTTTGACAGCCTTTAAATTGTTATTTATCATATGATTATTCTTTCTATTAGTGTGTAGCTAGGACTTTCAAAACTGTGAGTAATAAATAAATAGTGATAAAATGTACAAATAAGCACGATTTTGTCGTGAATATGAGTTTCTACTGGACATTAAGCAATCAACAATCAATCAACCAATTCGCACATACATTTTCATAAGTGTCCAAATTCTATATTAAAAGTAATGTTAATCGTACTTTTAAGTTTCACGCGAGTACTGTAATTCTGGACTCGGTTTTCGTTTGGAACGAAACAGATGTAGATACCTTCGTCGTCTTCGGTGAAATTAGCAATATTCAATATGTACTGTCCAATGCTGAAATTTCCAGTTATAGCAAGTCGGTTAACTTGTGGAAGATTTGTGTTCAAATCTTTTGTGTCACTATATATTGTACCAAGTTCTCCGTCATATGAAAGTTTTATCCACTGAAGTGATTTATGATTTACAGGACATTGTAATACCATTGAATCACCTTTCATACAATAAAGGGTATGGAAAACTTCATCTGAAGCTGAAACGAAAATGTACTATATATTTCGATACTGAAAATTAACAAA